AGAGATTGTGACAGGAAACGGGTGTGCGGCGAGAGCGTAGGGAAAGCCGGCATACCGGGTGGACGGAGGTTGCTGCCGGGGCGAGACGGCTGTGCCTGCCCGTACTGGTAGGGCATCTTGTTCTGCTGAGGCGGCTGGCTCGTAGACTGAGGACGCCCAATATTCTGAGACGATGTCGGGGACGCGCCGTTCGTTGGGCGACCGCGCATAGGGGAAGAACTCTGGATGCTGAGCGTACTTGCGAGATGAGCCGAATTGCCATCACGATTATCGGAGATCGGGCTCCTGCCAGTTCTGAATTTTGGCGAAAGCTTCAGCGCGGGCGCCTGCCTAGCGAGGCACGCTTGCTGATAAGCCTTCAAACTCTCGGCGTCGGCGATCCCAGGAGGGACAGTCGCCTTGCTAGCTTCACCGGGCGTGCGAGACTGCTGACCAGAAATCTGCGGCTTGGCGTCCTGCTGCTGCTGTTGTTGGTTATAGCCCCGCGGAGTGGAGCCTTTGCCCAAAGGAGTGAGGTCAGGCATTGAGTTGCTCTTCGACAGGCGGGTTATGAGCTGCGGCCGAAACCCCTTCAAGGGCGAGGGCATTCCAAGTCCATTGGCGTTCTGTTGCTGCTTCTCCGTAGTCGGCGTATTGTCGCCGAAAGGCTCTGACATGAACGCTGCCCACAGGTCAGGCGTCTGGCCTGTAGGCAGGTTCTCGGCGGGGGCTGGCATCGTCTGCTGAGGAGCGGGCATCGAGTTGGTCAAGTACTGCTGGTACAACGCGTTGGCGTCGCCGTACATATCGGAGTCGTGCAACGTCAGTCCATCGAGCGCAGTGGCGAAGCCTCCATCAGAAGCCGCGGTGGGGGGACGGCCATAGTCATCGCTCATGAAGTTGGTCATGTCCAACGGCGGGAACATGTTATTGTTCAGATTGGTGTTCACCGTAGGTGCGTTGCCCATGGAGTACATCAATCCATTGTTCGTAGGCGCACTATCGGTAGAACCATTCCAGTTAGATAACGAGCTGGCGTCCATAGAGGAGGCAACAGACGGATTGCGAGTGTGCTGGCTCGCGGTATCCGTGCCCATGTTGGACATATAGTTGCTGCTGTCGCCCTGGAGCATGGGCCAGTTTGAGGGAATGCTCATGGACTGGGATAACGCATTGACGTTGTTGGTCGTTAAGTTGCCAACATAGGGATATGCCGACATTGGACCGTTCGCTGGCCGACCAAGGTTGGTGTTGATACTGGTCTCAACCACAGGGTACTGACCGCCAGCATACACCTGCTGTGGGTACTGGTAGGTCTGCGTCGGCACCGTGAGAGAGCGAGGTCGGCCCTTTCCGCCAGGACCGTTCGGACTATTGGATAAGTTTTGCGTTTCTGGAGACGAGCCCGCTGATTCCAGCGTGCTGACGGACATCGTGAGCGAAGGCGGGTTAGGCGAAGGGGAGTCGTACATGTTGCGGGCCGCCTGCATGTGCATGAAGTCGTTCCCGATGCCGTTGAAGAGCGGGACGCCCGCAGGCTGCAGACCGTAGTCGTTGGACATGGTACCCGTAGGATTGATGTAGTGCAGAGGTACACCGTTGGACATGGACATGCCAGGCATGTTGGAGACGTGGGGGTCGTACAGTGATGATGTGGTCGAGGTGCTCGAGGCGTCGGAGTAGTCCCCCTTCTTGCCCACCGTCTTCTTCGGCGGCTTCGCGTAAGTGCAGATAGTCTTCCTTTGCAGGCATTTGCCTATGAATAGAAATCAGCGTCTAATCAGCGCATGATATATGCGGGTATACTCACCACAAGGGATCCCAAAGTCACACCGGACCTTAGAATGATTACACTGATCGCAGGCCCGCCGCTTATCGTCCAACTCTTGGTTAGCGGCAGCGCCTTTCCCGCGACCGGCGGGCTGCGGATTATTGCTATGACATTTGTTTACGTGGCGGGAGAGGAGGTCGCTGGCGTGGAAGTAGAGGTCAGCAAGGGCGCATATACGAGGCTGTGACTGTGCCTACCTTCGAGCAAACTGGTCTCCGCACTGTTGGCACTTGTAGGGGCGGTCTCCCGTGTCTATAGCACCAGTTACGTCAGTGAACAATCACGACAACGAGGGGGGCAAAAGACGCACGAGACCTCATATGGCGAGCGACATGCTGGGGACGGGTGAACGTCGCCTTACAAACAGGACAGGGATGGTCTCCTCCCATTGTCTAGTTCAATGTATAGAGGGAGATGGTGGTCGATTAGGGGAGAGAAAGAGTCGAGGTGGTTATCAGTAATTAGTCGGTTAAAGCGATGCGGGCGATGCTGTGTGACTCTGCGTGTATGCGTGGGTCGAGATGGTGGTTGGCTGCAAAGGATTGAACGGGGCGGGATTGAGAGGAGGGACGGAAGGGAGCGGCCGGGAAAGCGCGGGCGGTCGGGTGGGAATCGTCACGGTGGTGGGCGGGAGAGGGAGGGAGGGAGAGCGCGATAGATGGGTCCAGCGTGCATGGCCCTCCTCCATTGGGGGAAATGGTCACAGTGCCCGTCACCGTTTGCTCTCACGGCCGGATGAGCGCACGTCGGGCAGACGATGACGTAGCCGATTTCGCACGTCTTCCCTTGACATCCCTACAAACGGACGCATTTGGAAGCCTCAGACAGCTTGCGGACCTTGTGCTGTGCCGGTCCCCTGCCACACCGCGTGCCCCGTCAGGGATTCCCCCAAATAGCGCCTCGCGTCTTCTTCGCGTCTTGAGAATTGGTCCCGCTGCGTCATGGCCGCAATAATGAGTGAATCCCGTCACGAGTTGATTCAGACCAGCTCGTCGCACTGCGATTGTGGTGTACAGAGCATTCCAGCAATGGCAACACTATCAGACACGGCTAACGGTCATTGACGTCTGTTCGACCTTCTCCCGTCCTTCTGCCGACACACGGTGGACCAAAAGGAAGCAGCAGACTTCATCGTCATCAGTCAACGACGCGGTCGCACCCTGATACCGGACGTTATTCGTTTGGCTTCTATTTTGACATTTCACTTTCGTCTATCGCTTTCAGTAACACACCTCCGCTTTCCCGCCAGCTCAACTGAACCTTGCTGCTGCGCATGCGGTCCACATAGTAATCCCTGAGACCCTTTTCTGGGGTTGCTCCTTCGTCCCTGACGGCAGCGCCTATCTTCCCGCCGGTTCAGTGCGTGCGACTCACGGTCGCCGTAATGAGGCCGCTGGATAGTGCGGGAAAAAGAGGGTGTGCAATCAATAGACCGCCTTGGAAACGGGTGATAAGCGAGCCTACCTCGGCGCAGCCACCGGGCAGAAGACCTCCGCATCCGCCGGCTTCAGATTGGACAATCCCTTGAAGCCCAGATCAACGGGGATGTAGTGCTTGTTCGGGAGCTTGTACGACACCGACTCGACCGTCGGGTTCGCAGCAATAATCTCGCTGCTCATCTTGAACATGGTTGCCTGGCGGGTATATAAGGAAACGCTGATTCGGGCGGTCTTCCATCTGAATCCCCGCTCACCTGGACCGACGCCGACTCGTCCGTGGCGAAAACATCAAGAGTGATCTGCTTTGCGCTTTCGGCTGTCTTGTCAAACGCAACCTTCTCCTGCAGTGCGGCAATGCCCTCCGCCGTCAGAGCGCCGGCGGGCAGCGCGAAGGTGTAGGACAGCTCGACCTCAGTGGAGAAGATGCGGTCGTTCACCTCTACATCAATTTCAGCAAAACACGTTTCCCACGCACAGAATCCGCAAATGATGCGTACCCGCAAGCGTGGTCCACTCATCCCGAACAAAGCCCTCAAACGCGGATCCGCCGCTCTTGAGCACTAGATGATCAAAACCAGGACAGGGGCTCATCAATCACGTGTTGATGATCGCATCAGAATGACGCTGCGCACCCAGCAAACCAGAGAGTCCCGATGTGACCTTTGCCGTTACCGCACCCTTCCCCTTGGTAGCGTCAATCTGCGAATGGTGCGGAAGGGATCAGAAGACCTGACATCGTGGCGCTGCAATGTTATCCCACCTCCACCGAAGTAAGGCGCTTCTCCTCGCCGTCGCGCGTGAACGAATGCTTGTGCGGCTTGCCGTCCTTGGACACGATGATGCGGGTCCACTTGAGCTGCTCAATGTCGATGAACGCCTTGTGGATGTGGGGGTACGTCTTGACGAAGTGCAGGCCGAGGTCGAGCGCGAACAGCTCGGGGTGCAGCACATGCGGTGACGTCTTGGCGAAGACTACGGAGGACCGAGACTTAGCCACGGCCAGGCCTCCCCGAAGTGGCCGCTCGGCGTACCATTGCAAGTGTTCTTAACTATGCCCGAGTGTTAGCCGCCACGCCCGAGAGGACAGTTGCACAGGACTCACTGGAATCCGTCGCTACGACGACGCTGTTATCCGCCTGCGTGTAGCTGGTGGCGATATCGCCCTCTAACAGAGCCCGAACGTTGTACTCGACAACGTCGTTCCACACCTGGCCGTCCCCATTGGGCGAGCGGACAACGCGGAAGATGCGGACCTTGTCCTTTCCGTAGCGGGCAGCAGTGAGGGTAGCCATATCGTTTACTCAATCGGTTGATTCAATGTGAATATCCCCACAAAGAGCGTGCGAGCAGAAGCAGGATGACGATGTAATGGGAAGAAGGAAGAGGCAGATGGAGAGGAGAAATCAGTCCACGCTTATGGGTCGTCAGCCCCTAGAACGCAAGCCTCGCTGTCGCATGCGCCCTCACCGGCCGCGCCCGTTGTCCTTATCACTATCGCCGTGGAGGGGCGTTGTGGTGGCGTCTGGGACCCTGGAGTGCATTGACGCAAGCGCTAGCTTTTGCTGCGAGATAAACGACTGGCTGAGGCTTCAAGGATCGAACGAATCGGGAGGGAGAAGGGTATCACAGCGCCACCTGGTGCGGAGAGGATGCACTTCCGAAACAAGCAGCGGAATGACCAGTAAAGTTGGCGGGCGGAAGGCACTAACAAAGGGGTCTTATAGCCAAACGAGGGTCGATCTCCATGCGTCGTTTCCATGGCCTAGCGGTGGGGCATCTCGTTGTGGCCGAGAAGGCGCGTGTTCGATTCACGCTGGGAACAGACTAAACTTTATTTTGCAGCCTTCGGTGTTATTTGCCTCCGCATCCGGATTGGGATACCAAACACACGTTATTGTTCACCTTTTAGCAACAATAACGCGGGCACTTCAGCGGCTTGCGGAATAAATATGCGTGCTGGCTAACTATAGCCTCTTTACAGCGCTCTCTACCGCACAGAAGGTTCCCAACGGAGCGTTTGGTGCGCACGGATCTGGATTATGGTACCGACGCCAAACCCAAGATCTCTGTGAAAGGATCTACATTTTTCTCGGTTGAAAATATGTACAAAAGACCTGCGGTAAGACGTCCAATAGAAGGAAGGAGCTCTGATAACCTAGCGCCCGGCACTGTTCGACCTCCTTCCATTTCGTCGCTAGTGAAGTAAAAAGTCATCTTCCGGAGGTAGCCGTGCCAAAAGAGAAGGCAGCGCGGATCGTAAAAGGCCAAAAGTGGTCGGAAGATGCAGTGATGCAAGAAATTCTGGTGTTTGCTTGATAAAGTAAAGATGCAATGCGAGACCAATGAGAGTGATGCAAGCGCGGATTGTACAGCGACGCGACCAGTGCCGTGAACTGCGTCGTGTATGGCTCGAGTTGACTAACTCGAGGCGGGTGCTTTGGCAATGATGTTCCCCAGTGCAACAACGAGCTGGTTGAGGTCGCTCTCGTTGTTGATGTTGACAGAGAGGGGGGAGCCGGTTTGGCTGGGGTCGACATTGAGTGTTGTCGGGGTGCCGTTGAGGGACACGGAGCCGGAGCCGGTGCCGCTCACGCTTGAAGCCGAGGATGAGGAAGACGAAGTCGATGTGCTGGAAGCAGAGGTCGAAGTTGGTGTGGTCGAGGTCGGCGTAGGCGTGGAAGTGGGTGTGGTGGACGTCGTAGGTGGCACCCACTGGGAGGTGCTGGTAGGCGGTGTCCAGGTCGAGGTGGGCTGATCGGGCGTGCTGGTCGTAGGCTGGGACGGCGCGTCGTTGTTGTACCACCACGTCATCTGGAACTCGCCGAGGTCCTCCGAGGCAAAGCTATCGAACAGGCCGCGTGACATGTCGAGGTCGCCGTAATTGCACGACGGGCACTCGTCCATGATCTGCGCTTGCTGGGTGATGCCGTTGTACGTGATGGTGATCATCAGGAAACATTCAGGACCAGGGGAGCCAGAGCCGTATTGGGGAGTATTGAGCGCGACGATGAAATCGCTAGCAACGTTGTTTTGCCCGCAAGCGCCGAGTCTAGAAGAACGCGTGAGCATACAGAGAGGCGCGCGTAATGCAGAAGACGCACCCGACGTCGAAAAAGGTAGCACGGCCGCTATAGGTATCCTTCTTGACGAGATCAGATTCGCCGGATGAGACGCGAGCCTTGTGCTGATGTTTCCGGATCAGATTGTCATGGCCGGTAGCAAGCGCGAGAGGAGCAAGGAGTAGCAGAGCAGAGAGCATTGTCGAATAATTCAGACGAGGAAAGACCGTGATGGTTGGGATAGCAAAGGACAGGAGTAGGCAAGGGTAGCCTATAGACGATACAGCGACAATTAGGTGCTGTAATGCGGTTGGAGGATATGCTGTTGGAGAGAAACAGCGACGAGGGAGGGATGGACGATGAGGAAAGAGGGACGGCGGACAGCGAAGGGTGAAAACGACGACCATCAGTGCGCTGCACGCGGGGCGACCCACAGTCCAGACCCTGCCGTGATGTGCCAAGCCATGCGGTCGAATACTTCCGCGCAGACCGCGCTCGCGACCGTCCCGACGTACGCGCTTCAGGGCGCGCAAGCCACCTTTCACCTAACGCGTCCAGTGGTTGCCGCTCAACTTCTACGCGTCTATACATCGCGCTACCCGGGTATACACCAGCCTCGCTCGCGATGGGCATAATATGCATCGCGGTGTGCATTGCAGGTGACGAGAGGCCCATACAAAGGGGCCCGAACGCCAAGACCGCGTCCTCTTTATTCCTTTTGACTCCGTTCATTTTGGACGCTTCTCCAGGAACAGGGTCCCAGACTGATGCATGAAAACAAACGATGATGACTGAACCTTTCCTCCTTCGTTCTTGTCATGACTTTGCTGTGCGTTTATGTGCATCATACATGCCACACTCTCTTAGGTCAATACACTGTGGCCCTCTCGTATCTGTAACGTGTGCAATGCGTGCTGTCACCCCGTATCGCTTGAGCATGAAAAGGCAAGCTGTACACGCGAAGTGAATATCAACGCTGAACACCGAAGAAGAGACCGAGGTACAGGGGACGATCGATGAAGTGCTATGTCTTCAAGGGATGAAAGGTAAAGGCAATTGCTTGGAAACTTCTGCGTCGAGTGCCGCAGAACTATAAGCTCAGCGGCATGCGCATTCACGCGCAAAGCCAATTCAACCGTACCGCGCCCGTCCGCACGATAGCTCAATACCTCTGGTGGCCCAATCGAGTCATGGTCCCAGGACCGCACCAATGCCTGCGTGCCCCGTCTGGTGGCAGTTGTCGAACATGGTGAGAGCCTTTCCGCTTAGTCCCAGCGGCACGGAGGGATTACGATCACGTGACTGTGCTTCTTTTCTTCCAAGGTCTTCGTATCCCAAAAGGGCAGTCTGGACGGGAGCATTGCACGCGGATATCGACAAGAGGAAGTGTGAGAGGAGAGTGTCGAGCAATGGACAACGACAGGCATGTGTGGTT